AGATAGAAAGCAAAAACATAAAAAGAAACCATTAAATTATGTATCTACAATATCTAATAATCATAATATCCTTAATGGCAATTTAGAATTGGGTAAAAGAGGGATATTACATTCAATTAGATTTGGAGGCAAGTGGTTGGATTTTATAGCAATGGTTAACTAGCCATTGAATCGAGAATACCAGTTAGGTGCATAGGCATTAACTTTAAGTAGGCTTAGCCGGTTCGATTTTTGAGTTACTAAATGGCAAGTTGGTCCCATGCACTCCAATCTTTTTTTTTGGATTAATAGTAGCAGGGGCAATAGTTTTATTTTTTTATTTTAAATCTGCGCATTTATAAATTTACGTGTAACAAGAATTTTCCCGTGATAAAATCAAAATATTAAATGTCTGCTATATAGATTTAGTTTCGGCATTTTACCTGCATGAAAGCCGAAACTAAAGAAAACAGAAAATCCCTATCAACAAAGTGGAAACCACCAGAAAGAATAAAACTAAATCCTTACTATTATTGAAATTATATATTGGATTGATTGACCCAGTTATTATACAGTCTGTTAATATTAACATTAAGAAAAAAACGGCGGTGGCAAAAGGCTGTATATTAAATTTAGATTCTGACATGAAAAATGCTATTGCCAATTTTCTGTTAAATTTTTGTAGCAAAAGTTCCAGAGATTATGTATATAAAATTTTATATTTTCAGATTTTCTAGAACTTTGTCAATTGAAAATAAAAAAATTTTGATTATTTTTTCAATGTAATAATTACTCTCTTCAAAAATTTTGTTTCTTTAGTATTTTCATTAAAAACAATAATTCACAATCCGCCATTTTTTCATTAACACACTGTAATATATATATTAAGGGTAATTGAATAATTAAAAAATCATGAAAGAATAAAACAATCTAAATCTTTACTATTTACATTATATTAGTGTATAGTGCAATGATGACATCAAATTCCTAAAATTCTTAGTAGTACAAATGCAGTACATCCTATATAATAATATAATAATAATAGTAATAATAATATTTTTAACAAATAAATATATAAATATTAATATATTAAGTGTCTATCTAAGACTTTATTTTGAATAAGAAAAAAAATAAAAAAGTAATATTTTTATTTTGAACAAGAAAAAATAATCAAAAAAGTAATATTTTTTATTTTGAATCTGAATTAAGTAAGGAATTCTGAGTGACAAAATTATTTAATATTAAACGAGATTCTTTACAATGGATTTGTTCTTCCCTCCATCTTTTAATAAATCCATTTATTAAATTTTCTGGTAATCTAAAAACTTTGTTTTTATTATTTAATGATTCCAAGGAATTAATATGTGAATCAATAATAATGGATTGGTGTTTCCAAAACTGTGTTAATATTGTGAGATTGGTTATGATTATTGGTAATTTGTTGGTGATTTTGTCATTGTATTCCTTGATTGTTTTGGCATGTTTTCTTTCTTTACTCATTACAATAGCATTACTCTTACTATTAAATATCGTTAAGCGATTTCTTTTTATAATCTTGTACAACCTTTGAAATCTGCTAAACAATTCTTTAGGATTATAATTAAAATAATAATATCCTAACACTAACCTACATGCTAAATTAATTGGTAAATTATTGGGAAATAAATTAGCTAAACTATATGATGTGCTTGACTCATTTGATGCTATGCTATTATTATCATCATTGTTGATACTATTACCACCAACCATACCATTGTTATATGATGATATTTGTTCCAAGATATATGATGATTTATTTTCTCTGATTTTAGCAAATTTACCACCGCTCATTAAATTCCTTTGACAAGAATTGATTGAATTTCCATATATTATTAAATTAACATTAAGTAATTGTAGAAATTTTTTCAATATAAATATTAAAAAAGAAACCTTTGCCACTTCACATAAAATTGATGAAGTCGTCTTTGCCACTTCGATCAAGAATGATTTCAATGCACCTTGAAAATTCTCAGATTGATTTCTATCTTTTATTATTAAATCTTGTAGTAAAAATACCTTCTTATCATCACCATGCACATCAAATGATTGATTATCATTTATTTTTTTTATTTCTGTTTTAAATTCTTTGAATTGGTTTTCCAATTTCTCGGAATCTACAATTCTATTTTTCACCATGTCTTTTAATGTCGCTAACGTTTTTAATAAATCCCCAACGCTGGTATCTTCTTTAATGAGCATCTGAAAATAATCCAAAATCTCTTCCAAGTACATTGACATTTTAAGAGATTCTTTGGCTCGTTCCATTATCAACTCATCAAATATACTACTTAAATGATTCAATTCCATTATATTTTCTTCAGTATCCGAGTATTTAACACACAATTCTTTCAGACATCGAAAAGCTACCAAAATTTCTTCGACATTTTTTTGTAGTATGTTGGGATCTGGAAATGTTACATCTTCATGTTGTTTTAAATCAATTAAAGGCATCATCTCTATTAATTTTTAATTTAAAAAATTTTTTAATAGATCGTGTAACTTTATTCTATGGTGCGAATTGTCTAGATTTGGTAAAAGATTTTAATCACTATGTTAAAATTTACGGGGTAGACAATTGTTTCTCAATCTTGTAGTTGATAAGGTACATTGATAAAAGGATAAAAGGTTCCAAATTTGTTCAATTGTAGTGTAATAATAGATGTGATATATGACACACATACATACATACATATAAATTTTTTAAATAATTAAATTATTTATTTGTTAGGAGATGACAACTAATCTTCAAACTCATAATGCTTGTAACAATAAAATACAAAATGCTGAAATTTTGACTTTGACTAGCTTTGAATTTGAAAGACCTTTTGAAGAGGATAATGAAAATGTACTCTCAAAATTATTTCAACGTGTAAAAAGTTCTTTTAATGTTTCTGGTGGTGATAATTCAACAACAACTTGTGCACCTACGCAAGTTATGACCAAAAACACCACCGAGACCATAAACAATGCTACTCTTAATAACAACAAAACTAGTAGTAGTAACGTAATTTCCGCAATTTCCACTAATGCAAATAACACAATTAACAGAAACCAAGAAAATGGCAATAGTCCACCAACAAAACCTCCTTCACTTTTATTGCCCGATAAAGAAAACAAGGGTTTTGTTCAAGGTGCTACGCCTGCACCACCTGTCATTTCTTTAGAAGCTGCATTATTTGATAATGCCCCTGCATTTTTATTAGATTCAGAACTTATGATACAAGATCATTCAACCAATTTAGATGATTCTAGCAGTTTATTGTCCAACAAGTCTAGTACATTATTTGATCAACAAGATCAAGTCAGATATTTGAATGATGTATCAGTAAGATCACTTCAAACTAGCGCATCACCAGTTAATAAAAAAAATTCTGTCAGTAAAGCTATTCGCAGAATACGTGGTGAGGGTGTCAATAGAGATTATTGGATGGCTGATGATACTTGTAAAGAATGTTATGATTGTAAGAGCACTTTCAATCTTGTGAGAAGAAAACATCATTGTCGTCTTTGTGGCAAGTTTCTTTATTAATTTGTAAATACTATATATATACATATATCAAATTTATATATTTATTCATTCATTTATTCATTTATCGCAACTTTGATAATTATTTTATTTTTAAGGTCAAATATTTTGTAACAAATGCTCCTCCAATATAATACCTGGTGCAAAATTTAACCATAATGGATCAATGAGGGTTTGTAATTTTTGTTATGATGAAGATTCTGATATTGAATCAGATATAAGACAAAGTGATAAAAATGATTTCTCACTTATGATACCTCAAAGACAACTTCAATCACCAACAACGTTGTCAGATAATTATAATGTCATTAATCCCAATAATTCCCAATCAGAATTTTCTTACTCGTTGGCGACATCTTCAACACCTAGCCTTGTGTATCAAGAAACTCCATCCCCTGATACAATTTCAATCAATGACGGCTTCAAAAAAATGATTGTGGCTGGTTCCTCATTGTTTATGACAAGATCTAGATCAAACACAACCCTAGATGACACTCCTGCACTCTTGCCATCATCCGCACCATTTAGACATAGTATACCAGAAGATAAAATAACTCCTGCTGCAAATCCTGAGGCTGTGTTGGATCCTGACATTGCTCCATTCATGAGTAGTGACGATGAGGATAACGTTAATTATGATTCGCTAACCAACCAATCTTATCTTTCTGCTAATTCGAATCTTAATAATGGTAATCATGATCCTGCTATTCTGTCACCTACTGTTGAAGAATATGCTGGAAGCGACGATGAATATTGCGATTATAACAGATCGCAAGCGAAGAATTTACAAAAACTTCAAATTCACACAAAAGATAAAAATCCTCCTTTAAATCATAGAAGAAGTCTTTCTATTACTCGTTCAACTCGTTCTTTGAAAAGAGGTGGTTTTCTACAAATGGATTCAAGACCTTCATCACCTCTTAACATTCGCCATCACAGATCAGCCTCAATCCCTGTAAAAATTGAAATAAATCCTGTTTCTCTGCAACACATGAGACGATTTTTACGTCAGTTTCTTCAAGAATTTCAGATAGATTTATCTGAAGGATGGGAAAATGTTATAATGAAATTAATGATGAAAGTGGCCGATAATTTAAATCCAAATGTTCGTGGTGGTGATGAAATTGATATTCGTCATTACGTTAAAATTAAAAAAATTCCTGGAGGAGTACCTCAAGACTCGGAATATGTGCATGGAGTTGTGTGTACAAAAAATCTGGCACATAAAAATATGGCACGTTCTCTTCCAAATCCTCGGATACTCATATTAACTTTTGCCTTGGAGTATCATAGGGTTGAAAATCAATTGATGTCTTTAGATCCTGTGATTGCTCAAGAGGAAGAACACTTAAAAAATCTAGTTGCTCGTATTTCTGCATTGGCACCTCATTTAGTCTTGGTTGAAAAAACTGTTGCTAGAAAAGCTTTACAGTTTTTGTTGGAAAAAAATATATCTGTTGCATTAAATGTCAAATCATCTATTATAGAAGCTGTTTCTCGTTGTTCAAGAGCAGACACTATATCAATTGAAAAGTTAAACATGGCGCCAAAATTAGGGAAATTTGGTTCATTCTCTGTTAAAACTTTTGTTCATCAACTTATTCCAGGTAAAAGAAAAACCTATTTATATTTTGAAAATTGTCCAAGAGAACTAGGTTGCACAATAGTGTTGCGAGGTGGTGATATAGATACATTGAGAAAGATTAAGCAAATCACCGATCTTATGGTTTTTGCGGTTTACAACCTTAAATTGGAAGCAGCTTTGTTGTCAAATCAATTTGCAAGATTAAATTATGATCTAAGTTTAGCTGATGGAAAAAATGATGATGATGACCATGAAAGTAAATACATTGGCATTTTAAAACAGACACAAAATATTTTAAGACCATATGAAACTAAAATTTTTTCAGTATCGCCATTTATCAAATTTCCTCCTCCTTATTTGCTTACAAAAATGATACAAGCTGAACGTAAATTGGCAAGTTTAAACCAGAAACGTACTTCAGGATGGCAATCTAGTTCTTCGAAAGATAATGAGAAATCACATTCCTCACAACCAAGTAGTGGTATTCTACGTACACAAGAACAAGTTTGTGCCGAAGGAGTATTTAAAGATGCGTATCTTGAACATCAATATCAGTCTGAAGCATGGGAAAGTTATAAATTTAATAATGTTGCTAGTCCCTATGCCCTTCAAAATATCACAATACTATTTACGAAAGTTTGTGAAGAAACTCAGAAACCATGTATAGGACCTGAAATTTTGGTCATGGAATATTACAGAGAATCTGATCGTACGCTTGGTCAATATATTGAAGACTTGTTTACCAAATATGATTATCTTTGTCAAAATTGTGATAAGCCAATGTTCCTACACCATCAAAGTTTTTGTCATGGAAATGCCAGAATCACTGTGCATCTCATGGAATATGAAAATTTAGGACACCATCATGATAGACACGAAAATTGTATTTTAACATGGAGTTATTGCAAAAAATGCGAAAAATCAACTCCAGAAATTCCAATGTCAGAAGATGCATGGAAGTACTCATTTGGAAAGTATCTTGAGTTATCATTTTATCAAACAGAATTAAAAAGTCGCAACGAAAATTGTCAGCATGATGTATTTAGAGATCATGATAAATGTTTTACATTCAAGAATTTAGTAATAAAATTTGAATATGAAGCTATCAAGTTAATGGAAGTATATTCACCACCACCTATGCACCTATATTTTAAACCTGAAGCTCTCATTCGGCTAAAGAATCAGGATTTAGATACAGTCCGCAATAAGATTACAAGTTATTGGGATTCTGTAGCCGATCGAATCAAAAACTTCGATTATGATCTTGTTCAACCAGATAAATTTGAACGTTGTAAAAGAGAACTATTAGAAATGTCTAGAAGAGTTGTAACTGAAAAGAGAGACACGTTACAAAAACTTCAACAAACATATGTGAATAGCTTGCCTGAGGATAGATTGGCATTGAACAAAGTAATATATCTGCTTCAGGAAAGAGTGACGGCTTGGGATGAAGATTTCGGCGAAATTTCAAGACAATACTTTCCTCGATTAACTACAAGACAATTAAGAAGGTTTTTTGAGGTCAAACAATATGTTGTGCCATTGGAACGTGGTTATCCTGGCTCGCTTTTGAATGATTTGCCATTGATAAATATGGACACAAATGATATTGATAGAACGGATGAAGAATTATTGAAACCAATAATATGTCCAAAATTGAGCAGCTCTCCCACTAGTGAATTTTTATTGAACGAGACAAAGGATATTGAATTGTATCATGAAGGTGAAATTGAAAATTTGGAAAATGATATCGAAAAGGTCAATTCACAAAGTTCAATGTTTCCATTCATGGATCCTAAAATTTCAAGACGTTTATCAATGAAATGGATGAAAGAGTCTAAAGCTTCTCAACCATCAAAAAAATCAAAAAATACATCTGAATCAATTTTCACGTCAATAATTGATAAACAAGAGGATTCGCAACTTGAGATTGAGTTCACGCAAGAGCCAGAAGTAATCCCACAACTGGTCCCTTCAACAATAAGAAGAAAAAAGAAACCAACACATAATACCGCTTTCACTATGTTTGAAAACACGAAAGAAAATGTAAACACACCTGTTTTTAAACCAATTGGACCACTTACACCATCTACACCATCAATATCATCATCACTTTTCCCTCCAACGCAAACTTCTTCATTGCCTGTTCAAGTAAATCAAACCTCGCTTCGTAACAACAAAGAAACCAAAAAGGTTCAATATGATCGCCTTGCGCTAAAAAGGCCAACACTAAAGAAAAATCAAAATTTACTACCTTCAGAAAAATCAACAACTACACAAAGCAGCAGCAGTGGAAAATACACCAGACCTTCAATTAAAAATTTGCCTCCAGGAACTTTTGATAGTCGTAATAATAATAATAATGGTAGTGGTAGTAGTAGCAGTAGTAGAAGCAGTAGCAGTAGTAGCATTAGTAGTACCAGCAGCATTAGTAGTAATAGATTTAGTGGTGATAACAGTAACTCAACTCGATCAGATAAGAATCGAAATCATAATAGAATAGGAGCATTACATAAATCTAGACCACTAAGACAAACTATCCTAAAATCAAAGCCTGTTATTGAGATATTCCGTAATGTTAATGCGGCAACAGCAGAAGAATCAGATGAAGAGTTTGAGAAGGAAGGAGCAGACAATAATCGTGAAAAATTTTTGGAGGACAGATATCGAATTTTTTCATTGAACACTACAGATGCCTTTGATGAATTATTGGGAAATGAAGAATATTTTTCGATTCCTACTCGTGAAGCATCTGATGAATCATACATTTATCATTCAGCTTTGGCATTTTTAGGTCCAGAATTTAACGAACCTTCTACTCAAGCGTCAGAAGGTCAGTATAACCAGGAGTTTTTTTATTTTTAAATGTATGATTTTCTTTTTTAAAAATTCTATTTTTTTTTCCAGATCATCAGGACCTTAGTCACAACAATCCTGGAGTAGTGATGCCTTTGATGAGATCTCTCACAAACTTTTTAACCGATAGGAAAACCTTTAAACCTTTAAAATATCCTCTGTAAGAATATTTGTTATTATATCGGTGTGTATATATTATTTAACTTTACTTTGAAAATTAATTTTTATTTTATTTAGAAATCCAAACGAGCATGTATTTCCCGATTCCTCAATTATTTTCAGAGAAGATGAACCTGGGTCTATTATTGCATTTGCTTTAAAGTATTTCCTCTAAAACAATATTTTGTCAAACATTAAAGATTAAGATTTATTCTTTTAAAAAAAATGATTTATATATATATATATATATATATTTGCATAGTTCACAAGAATATGAAAAAAAATTAAAATCTATGCAGTTAATAAACCAAACTAATGAAACATTTATAACAGAAGATGAGAAATTTGGTAGTAGAAGTTCAACTTGGGGACTTTTAAATGTCGATGAGAGTGCTAATTTTGACGATGGTTTAACTTCACATATGAAATTTCGTATGTAAAAATTAATTTTAATATTTTTATATTTATTATATTGTCATTCAAATTACATATTTATAATATAATAATGATTATATATTATTTAAAGAATTTTCGGATAGATCTACAAAATTTTTTTGTAAAATATTTTGTACAGAAGAATTTCATAATTTACGTCGAGATTGTGATTGTGAAGACACATATATACAATCACTTGCACGATGCGTTAAATGGGACTCGTTAGGTGGTAAATCAGGATCTGCTTTCTTAAAGACACGAGGTATGTTAAATAAATAAATAAATAAACAAATAGAATTTCAAAGCCTACAACATTAATTTATCTATTATTTTATTATTTGTTGCTTAAGATGATCGATTGATTATGAAACAAATGTCTCGTAATGAGATGGATGCTTTCTTGAAATTTGCTCCAAAATATCTTGAATACATGTCAAAAACTAATGTAAGATTGTTAAATTTTATTCATTTATAATGATTTTTTTTTCTTAAAAATTTTAAATGTAACAATTATTATTATTGGTATAATATTTTATATAATTTAATAGAAATCAACTGTTTTAACAAAGATATTTGGGTTTTATCGTATTGGTTATAAAAATGAACACACGGGAAAAAGCATGAAAATTGATGTTATTGTTATGGAAAACTTATTTTACGAACGCAAAGTTTCAAGGGTATGAAGATAATATCTAAAGCTAAATCTACATATATATATGTTTCTCGTTTGAAATCAACATTTTTAAATCGATATATTTTTTTATTTATAAAATTTGTTAGATTTTTGATTTAAAAGGTTCAATTAGAAATCGACGTATTCGAAGTACTGGAAAGGAAAATGAAGTTTTATTGGATGAGAACTTACTTGAACGTAAGTGAAAACATTATAAATTATATCATCATTATTATATATACAAATTTGATAATTTTTGTTTATTTTTTTGCAAATAAATAGTCATTAAAAACGAAAATCCAATATATCTTCGAGAACATGCTAAAAATTCACTTCGTGAATCACTTAATAATGATACAACATTTTTGGCAGAACATAATGTTATGGACTATTCACTATTGGTTGGTTTTGATGATGATAAACAGGAATTGGTTGTTGGAATAGTTGGTAAGTAATTTTTTTTTATTTTTATTGAGAATAAGATCCAAACGAAGTTTATTAATTTATATACATATATTTTGGTGAAAAGATTTCATAAGAACATTTACATGGGATAAGCAATTAGAAAGTTGGGTAAAAGAAGCAGGATTTTTAGGTGGAGGTGGTAAAGAACCGACTATTATTTCGCCTAGACAATATGGAAATAGGTTTAAAGAAGCAATGGAAAAATATTTTCTTATGGTGCCTGATAGATGGATTGACTATAGAACACTTGAAAAATTTGATACAATTTTTTAATTTATTTGTAAATGATCCTTACATACAAAAATGGATTTTTGTATCATTATAAACATTAGATGTTTTTATTTATTTATTTATTTATTTATTTATTTACGTCTTTACTTATTTATTATTTATTTATTTATTTATTTAGAACATTAATCATATTATTACACTTATAATTATAAAATATACAATTGGAGTATTATATATATTATTCATTATATAATTTTTGTTAATTAAAATTATCTTGTATTCAATCCTTCCATTTTAATCCGCCATTAAGAGATGACGTTTTCCTATCTAAAACTTCTAAAACTTTTTCAGGAACTCCAATTTTTGATTTACGATTTTTTAGAAAGAAATCTACAACTTCTGACTTGGACATACTTAATGAACCGGCATCAGGAGTCTCGCCAGTAATTACCATACGAATTTCTTCTTCAGATGGTAAACTGAATTTATAATGAGGGTGTTTTTCAAACGATAATTCATTCAAAAATTCAATTGTCTCGCAATCTTTTTCTGAATTAAAATAAAAGTTTATGATTTCTTCTTCATTTATGTCATTTATAGTACTTGGATTCCATTTGGGATTGTTATCTTTATCAATTAAAAGTGCCCTAACTCCTTCTTTAAAATCAGATTTTTCCTTAAAAAAAATAAATTATATATATATTTTGAGATTAAAATTTTTAATTTAAGAATAAATAAACAGACTTTATTTATTGTCTTACCAAAAACTTTTGAACCACATTGTATTCCAACTTAAAACAATTAACTATATCTTTTTTTTTCCCTTCTCTTAATTCTTTTAACGTAACAACTAAGCTAGTAGGTGAATGTTTTTTTAATGTTTCCAATGTTTTTTTTGACCATTCAGTGCCTTCATTTTCGAGATTTTCAAAAATTTGATGAATTGAGTTTCCCTTAAAGCAGCTACATAAATATAAATATATAAATAAAAATGCGAGATTGTAAATAAATATAAAAAATGCATCGTTTATATATTTATAAAAAATGTAATAACAATTACCGGTCAATATATTCCCTAATTTTTCCACCAAAAGAATACTTGTGTTCTTTCGGAGGCTCAGAAACAAATTCCTCAATAGCACTGTTTATCACTTCATGATCATCACTTTCTAATTCACTTAGTCGATCCTCTAATTGTTGTAATCTCTGTGATGGAACGTAATGAGATGCAACTCCTGATAAGCTTATACATTAATAACAAAAAAAAAATTTGTTTAAAAAAATTAATTATAATGAAAAACAAAAAATTAAATAAAATCGGATACCTACAAAACATCAATTCCTACTACATTTTCACAAGTTAAGGCAAGATAAGTACCAAGTTCACCATCCATTCTTGGTAAGAAAAAAGATCCACCCACGTCAGGGAAAAGCCCAATTTTTGTTTCAGGCATAGCAAAAATAGTATTTTCTGTTGCTATACGAAATGGTGCGAGAGCGGAAATACCAACTCCACCTCCCACTTTAATAATAAATTATAATCAAAAATCAGAAAACTATGTGAATGTTGGGTATCAGGTCTTTTAGCTGGGTTAATTTATAAAATTTGCACGATCAAAAAAATAAACAACGTACTGGTGGCTCCGTCAATGATCGCTACAAATGGTTTATATACAGTAGCAATGAGATGGTCAAGTTGATATTCTTCTCTGAAAAAAGTTACTACATTAGGTTTATTATTAGGATCTGACTCTAGTTGTTTTACAAGATCTAATTTGATTTTAAAATAATAATATAATTAAATGATGAAATCAAAACTCATATAATGAAAATAAATAAATACTTACTTACAACATCTCCACCAGCACAAAAAAATTTATTCCCAGTACCTTTAATAATAATAACATTACATAAATTGGACAAATTCCAAGCCTTATAAATAGAAATTGCAACAAATATATATATTTAATCTAATAACATTAAGCTTAAAAATCAATATCAATAAATATATATGAACCTGTAATTGTGGTGTGATACTTCTAATCACGTCAAGAGTTAACGCATTGGCCTTTGTTGGACGATTTAATATGAAAATTCGACTTCCCATATTTCTCCTTCGAAGTAAATCTGCCTTTAAGAAAGGTCGATAATTAGTTTAAACCTTTCATTATTATTATTTTTATTTATTTGTAAATCGGTAAAATACTTGTAGTTGATCATCTGGAATAGCTTGTAAGCTGGTTTTAGAGTTAGTTGACATCTTGTTTTTTTAAAAAAAAAGAGACTATATTAATCATTATTTTAAATAAAATATGGAATTTAGATCTAAAATATAATACCATTTTATGAAATCTAAAACGATTTGGACATTTTACAAATAAAGATGAGTTGTGAGAATTACTTTTTGATAAAAGATTGTATAAATTTCTAGTTTCAATAAAAGAATTTAAAATATTATTTCTTTTAAAGGGAGTGGTTAAGAAAGTTTGTCTTAACATTATTCGAATATAAAGAAAATTTTTTTGGATCTTATTATTATAATTACAGAGGATAGTGTCACAAATTTATAAAATCACAAATGTCATAAATGTCATAATGATTTTTCTCGATCATTAATTAGTACACCTTTTTTTACATAAACTGTTATAACTCATCATATAGATGATTTTAACCTCCTTTATATTTACTTCCTGAGTTAATTATTTATATATTTGGTGACTAAAACTTTTGATTTTCTTAGTACATCATCCTTGTGATCACTACTTCAAGAAAAAGACAATAACAAAGAAAATACTCAAGTATAATCATATTATTTATTTCAATACATTAATAATCAGTGTTCAATAACGATTAATATTGCAAATATTAACCCGACCTTTACAAAACAATTATTCTCTTTAGGGATTGAAAACAAAATTTAATTCATGGCTATCTAATTAACTTTTGGAGCAGAAAATCTCCATATCTATCTTTGGTACTGATCTACATAATAAAATTTACGCGTTTTTTTATAATTCATATAAATTATTATTATTATTAAAATGTCAACTCGTGAAAGAATTGAAAAGGCATTCATTGTTTCTAAATTTATTTCAAGGAGTGGCTGGTTCAGATGAATTTGATGAAGGCGAATTGCTGGATAAATACTTTGTTGTTATTGTTCGTCATTATTAGTAGAAGAGGCTATCCTTTGAACTGGGTAAATGCATTATTAGTAGAAGAAGCTGACTTTTGAACTGGGTAAATACTTTGCCATTGTCATTATTAGTAGAAGCTACTTTTTGAATTTAATGGACACTTTGTTGAGGTTGTTTGTTGTATGATATTCTCGTTTTCGTTTTCATTTTTTAAAAAATTTTTTTTTTTTGGAAAAATCGTTGGAAGTGAAGTTGTTTCTAATCAGCCAATAAAAATTAGTTATGATCGTGTAACAAGGAACAGATAACAGGAAGAAGAAAATACAGCGTTGAAATTGTGAAGTTTGCAAACCTCTTCAAAGTGATTTAGAAGTTTTTAATAAGATGTATCATTTATCAGGTCCAATTCCAAAACTAGATGGTGGAGGTTATAGAACATTTGAAGAACTATATGACGCTGAAACTGCTGAAGAATTTCGTCCATCAAAAGAATCTCAAGAAATGGGGTCTAGTTCCAACATTTCAATAAATATTCTCTTACGAATCAATAAATCTATGGACATTCTTGAAATTTTAAAGTTGGCAGTATGATCGAGTTACAAACAATTCCACTAGGTTCATCTCGCTCATACAAAAGTTCGAAAGTTCCAGGAGAGAGTATCTATGATGCAGAGATGTACCGGATCTTGGTAATAGTAAATCAGCTCAGAAAGATTCACGGGCTTGAAATCACCGGACAGATGCATCCCGAAAAAGTTTGTAAAGACAGTGATTATCATCACTTTTATTGCGACCTGATCATTAAAAAAAGTGATGACCCTTATCCTATAGCTTTACTCGATTATTGGCAACAGCGCCCCATCGAAATTATATAACAACTTTGCCCTTTGGAGTTTGGATTATGCATTTTTCTCGTGAGGACGATATTCATGTTGGCCGTGTGAAAAGCTACAGGAGAGGAGGGGGCTAAATGTTGTACACTTTTGGCATGACAGGAGTGTCAGAATGAGTTTCCTGGAAAGTCTGGAATTTTTCTATGTTTATTTATAAAAAGAATGTAGTGATAGTAAAGTTATAATGTAATAAAATTTTATTTATTTAGCATTTGAAAATGTCAAGTAAATATTGGCATAAATAATTAACGGGAATGATATTAATTAATTATAAATTGTTCTTTTGACAAAATCAATTAAATTCAATGGAGTACATCAAAGTTTAAACGATCCATGCATATTATAGCTAAAAACCCCTAAAGGCATGGATCCTGATTTGGAAAGCGAAGACAAAGTATGTGTTCCATTGCTTCCTGGTCATTTAATCTTAACAAAAAAGTACAAGTTCATTCGATTATTTATTAATACTAATTATTTTAATTGTAATTTTGACAACTTTAATTGATTTTATTGATGATTATATATGTAAACATACTAATGAATATGTATGTGAAAAAAGAAAAAAGGAATATCCAAAAACCCTAATTTGTTGAAAAGGAATTTTTCGATAGGGGGAACATGCAATATTAGTAGATTCATCAATAATATTTTAGTGGGAATGAATATGATCGGTAGATAATCTATATTAATATACTTGATTTCTTGATTTTAACGAACTCACTATTACTATTACCATGTGATCCCCTGCCCGTGATCCGATATGTCGATTGTTTTAACGAAAGAATCAAATCAGTGCAACATACTTTGTAACAATTTATCTCTCTTTGGAAATTTTCGAAAGAAAAGGAAGATTTTCGTTTCACAAAATTGATAAATCTTTCGATCATTGATCATCATGATCACTCTCCCAATTTTTTTTTAAAACGCTCAGAGGTTGTATTTATAAGTAAAAAAAAAATGAAAAAGAAATCACTTGATTAAAATCGAGCCTTTTCCAAAAATGTTAGATATTGTCAAAAAAATTCACAAAAAATGGTTCCTGCTGAGAAAATTTTCTTTTGGTACGACACTAATGGTATACCTTTGGAATTAATTAATCGCCACTAGAAAAACAATTTGGAATTAATTCATTTATTACATATGTATTTAAAAAAAAATATTTAATTTAACACGAGAAACAAACATTTGCCGTGTCACGTCTAAGTCGGATGATTATTTTGCAGAAATGATAAAATCAAAAAATTAAAGCGAGTGAGAATGCAAGAATTGAAGAAATTTGGTTAAAAAAGTCCAGTAGAAAAGGTGCAAGAACGACAAAAGAAACGAAAAGAAGTATTGGAAAAAATCAAAGTTATGAGAAAAAGTTAAATTTTAAATTTTAACTTGGATATTAATATGTTAATGTAGATGATTGATTAATTAACAAATTTTTGTCAAAGATAAAGCTTCTTTTGATGATGGATTTGAATAACCTGGCATTCATTATAATTAAATAAACGCATGATAAAAAAAACTAATTACATAAATACAAAAATTAATATTATCAATAATAAAAAATTAAGGCAAATAAAGTTTATGAAATAAAATTTTTGAATGATGATTCAATTGTCAATCCCGCCGATGCTGACACAAAACCAAGGAATGCTGGTGAGGGTTTAAGCGGTCTGCTAAGATATTCTGGATGATATTGTGTACCAACAAAGAATGGATGATCTAAAATGAAAATAATAATTTAAAATTAATATCATTAATAAAATGGTGATTTTATGATTGGTGATGATTAATTACTTCGATATTCCATTATTTCCATTCTTTGTCCAGTTTCATCACGTCCAATGAAGTTTAATCCCCATGATTCAAAATTTTTAACGTATTTAGGATTAACTTCATAACGATGACGATGACGTTCTTGCACAATACCAGTATCAATCTCTGTCACGTTCATAATTTCATACAATTTGCCTAAAATGGTAGTATTAATGGTAGCATAATCATCATCATTATTTGCTATTACAATTAATATTATTAATGTTATTATAAAACTTACGCATTTTTGACCACAATTCTGTTTTTGGTTGAAAGACTGTTGGTCTTAAACCTAGTCTCATGGTACCACCTAAGCAGGTTGTAGAAATTTCTGGCATATTAATTATGACTTGGTTAGTGGCTTTTGGATTAAATTCTTCAGAATCTGAATCTTTAAAATAAAAAAAGGGATTTAATTATATTAAATATATTAAATATTTAGTAAACTATATATATATATATAAAAGAATTATTATTACCTGTCATCTTACAAACATTACGTGCAAATTCAATTACAGCAATTTGCATACCAAGGCATATTCCTGTTCATTTTATCAATATTAGAAATAGTACATATAGAATTACAGCAACAATGATAATAAAATAATCAAACACCTAAATAAGGAATCTTATTTTCACGTGCCCATTTTGCTGCTGAAATTTTACCCTCGATACCACGATTTCCAAATCCACCAGGAACGAGAATACCATTTGCAGATCTTAAAACTCTCCATGCTTCTTGATATTTATCTGCTTCATCATTCTGTTCCAAATCTGTAGCTTCTACCCACTTTTATTTAAAATATTTATTGTTTTCCCCAATTATTATTATTATCAATATTATTATCATTATCATTATCATTATTACTACAACATACTTTAATTATTGGTCTTCTTTCACATTTCATTCCAGAGTGTTCAAGTGCCTTTATAATAGAAAGATAAGAGTCTTGAAGTGTGGTATATTTACCAACAATGACTATTGTAACAGGTTTTGAAAGGCGGTCATGACTTTTTTTTAAAAAGAGATTAATATTATTTTAGGTATACATTAAAAAAATTTTATAATTATAATTAATAAAAATAAATATGATACTCACTCTTCAGTCAACACTATCCATTCTCTCAACAAATATAAACCATTGTTACGACGCTCTTGTTTGATATTAATAGTATTCAGACTAAGCCGTCTAATAAAAAAGGTCAATACTCCTTGTTCTGATAAAAGCAATGGAACATGGTATGTTGAAGATACATCCTTTACTGAAACAACCTTATTTATATGAAGAATAATAATGTTATTATTAATAAGAACAAAATTGTTATTGTAATTATTAGATACAATATATTTATTATTTTACTAGTATATACTTGTTCTGGTCCAACATGACAAAACATTGATATCTTTCTTCGAACATCGGGATTTAATGATTGTGAACAACGACATGCAATCTAAAAAAAGTTTAAAAAAGTCTTTTATTATTTTTTTAAAAAAACAGATTTATAGTAAAAAGATTATAAAAAATTTACCAAATCAGGTGACAATCCTAAAGCTCTTAATTCTCTGACTGTGGCCTGAGTAGGTTTTGTTTTTTGTTCACCAACTGGACCAACTATAGGAACCAATGAAACATGAGCCAAAGCAAAATTTCCATTCCCAACATGAAATTGAAATTGTCGCATTGCTTCAATAAATGGTGCAGATTCAATATCACCAACTGTACCACCCAACTATAGGATTATGTTAATGGCTTTAGTTTTTTTTTTTAGGAATTAAGAATTAATTTATTCTCTTAATGTACACTTTTTTGTGCACACATATACAACACATGTACCTACCTCAATTATACAAACATCAGGTTCTTGACCACTTGAGTCTACAGGTATTTTGGATACATTTTCAATCCATTCTTGAATTGCGTCAGTTATATGTGGTACCACTTGAACAGTCTTTCCAAGATACTCGCCTTTTCTCTAATTAATTATTTAATCAAAACAGTTAAAATAATTTATTTAAAGGATCATCATCCATCATCATTAATTGTTATTAATACTTACTTCTCTGTTAATAACTTTTTGATATATCTTTCCAGTGGTAATATTATTATCTCTTGTAAGAGTAACATCCAAGAATCTTTCATAATTACCAAGATCGAGATCCACTTCGCCACCATCATTCAACACAAACACTTCACCTAATCATTAATGTTAACACGTGTGAATGGATAGACATGGTGTAAGATATGTTTATATATTTATTCAATATTTTCCAAGATTATCATTATCAAAAAAAAGAAAATAAAAAATTATAGGATGCGTGAATGAAAATATTATTAATAAAAGTTTTTTTGATTTTTATTTTTATTGAACTAACCATGCTCAATAGGACTCATAGTTCCAGCATCAATATTCATGTAAGGGTCAATTTTTATTGCAGTGACCCTTAAACCATAGGTTTTTAACAAGAAACCTAATGAGGAGGCAAAGATACCTTTACCAATTCCAGACATTACGCCTCCTGATACTAAAATATATTTCATCTTTTATTTGTTTTACTTTATTTTGGAGAAAAATATTAATATGTATGTATGTATGTATGTATGTATCTTTCCTTATGTAAATGTAAGTATAATTGTTTAAAGAAAGAGATGGCTATGTAGGATAAATAATGTAAAAATTATTTATTTATGTTTATTCTAAGGTGTTTATTGTAAAAAAAAATGTATATTTATTTATTTGAAGAAAAGAATTAAATTTAATCAAATAAAAAAAATAATAAAAAGTTATTTTTGCTAAAAAAAGTTTACTGCCCAGTTTGTCGAAAAGACAGCTGGGAAGGAAAAAAAACACGATCATGCGCGTAAAAAAATTTTTTTATCAAAATTCAAGATTTTCAAAATTAGCAATGATTTGCAAACAATATTTCCTCGGGTATTTTTATTTTTAACAGTTTAGGAAATTTCCTTCGCGTTTAGGAACATGTGAAAACTCAAATTTCAAATAAAGCCATAATTCTTATTTCTTACTTTACAGAACCTAAAATTAAAATCAATATTATAAAAAAAAGCCTACCTTTACAAGTGAGTCCTCTATACTTTTAAAGGTCATACAAAATTTCTCTCACCATTGATGAATTTTTATAATGGATATATATGGTAAATTTTTTCTGTGATGATCGTAATCCAAATTATCACAAATTCTATTGGCTCGAAAATCATAGTAATTATACAAAGTTATACTAGTATAACGGGAATTTTTGAAAATGTCATTATAATGAAATTGTCATAATGAGATGTGTCATGCATATATATATTTTAAAGTTATATAGTTGTACAGCATGATGTCAAGATTGTCGTCACGATGTGACAAAATATATTAGTGCAACAAAAAGAAAAAATCTAAAGGTGGATTGGATGATATTTTGATATTTATTATTTTTGAGTTAAAAGGTCCTGCCTGCACTCTAAAATTTAATCCGTCATCCGATAATCACACAAAAAATACATTCGCCAGATTCGGGTGAATTGAGCAGATAATCTAACAAACATCATCATATATAAAGATTATTAAAAATACAGCAACAGCAACGGTAATCCATAAATTTAGTTTAATAGATGAATGCATTCATAAAATATGTTAACAAAGAGCAAACTAATTTAGTAGAAAAACCAAAAAGTGTTTTTAGAGATGAAACAAAGCTCAAAATGTTTTTTATAAACTAAATTCTAAAGGTTTAAAGGGAGAGGGAACGATTTCCAATTGGTTGTATACAAACTGAGTTTAAATCAACTCTATTTTGGTTTGGAGAACAATTTTCACTTATTTAATGCCGAGGTAGATATTGACGACTTTTTAACATTTTAAAGACGAATTGCTTAAACCCCAAAAATCACAAAATCACGACGATAAATTTATTTCAATTATTATGATAACTATTTTTTTTTTATAAAGAAACCTTCGCCTAGTATGCAAGTCGTGCTTACTCGACTGTTCAAAGACAAAGCGCAAGACGTGTTAAATAATAATAATAATAAGTTTTTTCGGTTAACTAACCTTTTTAGAAATTTCCCGACGATCAAAACATCATCATTATTATTATAGTAATATCATCCACGGATCGCATCTACTAAATCATTTATAGATCAAAAATTGACAGAATTGCTTTAAAAGCCATCGTCAATATCTTGAAAAAGTTCATATTAAGCAATTGAGGCTTTTCACGTTAAATATTTTCACACAATCTGACTCACAAATACATAGATGACTGGCTACCCTAGAATGGAGATTAATTACCCTATTGAAAAAAAAAATTCATTATTAATTTCAGAGACACTCGTGAAAATTTCCACGAATTTGCGAACCGTCTTTCCACCTGTAATCTTTCTGTGATTTTTTATATGATGCATTTCTGGAGAAAACATGGAACTTCAAATCATGGGT